GAAAAATGCTGCTGTACTGAAAGATCTCTTCAATACTCCTGGAAGCAACACTGGGATGGACTTTGGGTAACCTTAATTTACCAGTAAGGTGGTATCTCATCAAAAAGGGACTTCAGAAACAGCAAGGCTTTGGAGACTCTGGTATCCAACATCAAACTAGGAATAGATTTAAGTAAAAAAAAAATAAATTGGTATGGAAAGTATGAATTTTAAAATAAAGCAGAATTCAGTGGGTGGGAAATATTTTCATTCCACCTGAAGAAAAAGTGCATTTTTATTCCAAGTCTGATTTTGCTTGAGAGACTAATTCCATTCTTCCACTCATTCTTCTCTCTACTGTCTTAAATTTTCTTATGCCTTTTTCTCCTCTGTTGCCAAATAACAGTAATAATAATAATAATAATAAAAGGATATAGAGGCTCAGAAACAGGAAAAGAGAAATGGGAGAGTAAAATGAAGAAAATGGTATACCTAATTTGGAAAGCCACATGACACTGCCATCTTATCTCAAAGAAAGACAGGTTTAAGAATGGACTCAAAGGATTTGACCCTTCCCTAAAAACACAGCAGTGGAAGAAACTAAGACTCCTCATCTGTGTATTCTCAGAAAGATCAATTATTTTGCTATCTTTTCACCAAGTGACTACTAAACGAACTGGAGGCACAGAATCAAACGTTAGTGTAAGGTAGATGACCTACAACTCTACCCATCCTACAGCATGGCTACAAAGGTACAGCGTGTGAAGAAGAGCTCCTGGAGCAGCTGGCTAAAGCAGAAGCTGAGCAGGAAAAAGCGGATGTTGGCAGAGGACAGAAAGCATTTTGAGGACTCATTCACAGTCAAGGTACACAGCCGTGGTTGGTCACTAAACACTAATCTGATAAAGAAGCAGTTATTCACAGATGCTATTATCTTCAATTAGCTAGGAAACTCCATCTCTCTTGGATGAGGACAACAGTCTCTCAGGCAGGTGATATCACAAGCTTGTAGCACTAAGAAGTTGTAACACAGAGAAAATGCAATAGTGTATACCCTCTGAAGCTCAACCCAACTAGACCACAAATCTGTTCCCTATATTGTAGATGAGCCTCCATGTCATTTTGCATTCCTCTCTTCAAAGCAGTCCATTGTCTGAACTGTGGATAAATAAAAGATCACTTAAAAACCTTGAAAAAAGATCACAGTTGGCAGCTTCATTTCTCTGGCTTTTCTCAGCAAGAGTAAAATTTCTCTTCATGGGAGAATGAAAGGGGAAAAAAGTCCCTTGGGAATTAAGGGTAACCAAATGTCATTATCTAATGCCGTAAGTGCCTGGTACATTTCTTTGAGCAGTTTTAAAAATATACACAGCAACATGTGTCCGCAGTGCAATTTTCTACTGCTAGGGAGCAGACAACACAACAGCCAACAGCTTACAACTGATGCTAATTTGGCTGCTTGCACGGTAATGGAAGGCACTCTGACAGCATGGTACTGAGTGCAGTAAGGATCTGTGTTGAATGGAAAGATTCTTTTATTCTGTTGTACTGCCATAAAAATAATTTTTAAATTGGTATACTAAAACATTTTGTGCTTACATTTTTCTCTTCCTTAATTTTTAATTCAGTTTTTAAAGCTATAAGCATAACTTGCATGTTAAACGGGTGGCTGGCTCTAGTTTTACTGCATTTGTCAGAGAACAGTGACTTTGTTTTCAGGGTGGTGCAGGATTTATGCTACATAACATCTCTCCTCTAATGCTCAACATTTCTTACAGGCTTAGCACAGCTCTGTCTAGTATATAACTATAAATTAAATGTATCAGACTTATGACTGCTGGCAAGAAAGATGTCACAGCAATCTGTTGCATTTTGTTTGGTCACTCTGTACTTGCAAGACAGATAAGTGTTTTCCTCATCATGGTGAAGAGGTAGAATAATGAGGCTTCAGAGGAATTTAGATCCTTTTGATTCAAGGTTGGACGTAGACAGTGTCCATCATGCAGATTCCTGCATAGAAGCATGAGTTTCTTAAATGCCTCTGGTCTGTACGATACCATGGTGCCTTTTCACGCCAATAAAACCTATCATTTGTTAAGAATCCATACAGATTTTATGGTGGCAACACTGGTACAATTTTCTGTTGTTATTACATGATACATAGCTACCAACAATTGATAGAGAAAGGGAAGATTTTTAACTCATTCCCATTAACAGTCACTCATTAAAATAAAGGAACTGAACTTTCATTCTACTGGTCCTGAAGACAGCTGGATCTTACAGAGTTAAAGCAAACGTCTGCTGGAATTTTCCTTAGGACTGCAAGCCTTTCAAGCAGAACCTAGTGAGGTAAAATGACTACAGGCAATGCTGGCTATGTCTCCTGTACACTGGAAATGATTTGTTCTAAAAAGAAAAAAAAAAAGATGGTGAAGGTAATATTTAGTGAAATAGAATTTTCGTTGTGTGGCACCTAGCATCCTAGAAAAAGACATTATTCCCATTAATTTGCAAATGTGAATTTGCACACATTCTGGAGAACAGCTAAATAAAGCAATGCTCAGGAGACTTTAAGCCAACAGTGTCTTGACAAAGAAACTGGGCTAGACAACCTCGTATTAAAAGCAACTTAGTATTTGGAAACCATTACAACAAAAAAAAATCAAAAAGAAACCATCTGCTAAAAGAAATCCATAAAGGAACATCTGTATTATTTAAACGGATAAACTTAATTGTAAAACAGAAAGGTACCATGAAGCATTCCAAAATGAACTGCACTAAGGAAAAGAGTAGTGGATAAAAGATATAAAATTTGCATTTAATGCCAGAGGAAAGACTATATCTGAAGAAGAATGGGCACTAGGAGAGTTGAGATATATCTGAGATTTGACTGTATGCTGAAGGAGTTACACATCTGTGGGGCAAGCTGAGAACATTAACTGCAATTCCTACTAACTCTGACGGATTTGGCTCTGGTGCTTAGGCAGTATTTCTGACAGTTGAAAAGCTGACTGAGAACCAGGAACAAAATTACTTATAGGAAATACGCTCCATTGTAATGGAAAAACTAACCCTTTGTTGAAACAAGAACAGCACAAAGAACAGTATAATTATTGCTCCAAAATCCTGGAGTCAACCCACTGAATACAAAAGGCTCTGGAACCACTCTCAACTGGAATTAAAATAGACCCCAATGTTGTTTAAAATCAGATTTGCACTTTTTTTGTTAATAACCTAAAGATTTCTTATGAATCTCAAAATTTGGAATACCTCTAGACTTGTTTATTTTTTTAATGCAGATAATCTGCTGAATCTATTATAGTTAACATATCAAAAGGCCTAATTTTAGATATACAAGAACTTTGCATGTTTCTTTTGTACTAGAACTATTGAATGTTGTCTGCTTTGACCCAAAAATGATCATATCTTCCAGAGCTCTACACAAAGAAACTTCCAGTTGTCATAACAACCTACTGCGGCTTTTTTGCTATATAGATATCTTGCATTTGCTTTTGATACTATTAGCAAAAATTTAAATCTCCTGAAGTTTAAAAACCAGAGAAATTATTTAAAAGGGAGGGGGAAATTGGTTGTATTTTTTTTAAATTCCTACAAAACTCTGCTTTTAATATTAAATCTTCAGACAGCGGTCTGTAAAGTCATTACATTGCATCATCATGTTTGGATGTAACTGTTATGCTCCGTTATATACAAAATATGCAGGTTTCTAATGATGCCTGCATAAAATGACACTCAGAATATAAATAAGCCTAAATTAACCTTTAGAAAAATCTTCATGTGTTTTCCTAAGCAACAAGTTTACTAGACAAGTCCCTGAATGCTTCAGTCTTGTCAAATGAAATACTGAATAATTATGAAAGTCCCATATAAGATACGATCTTAGCTATCACTCTGTTAGAAGCGTTTCAGATTCAGCAATCAATTTAGCAGGAAAGGATCAGTATTGCTTTGTCTGTATTCTTATACCAATACTGAAATAGAATAGAACAGCTTAACCATTGCACGACACAAAATTACAAACTGGATCCACCTGAGTCCCTAGAAATGGTTCACTTACGAATTATCACTATGTGAGTTTTTATAGTACCTGGAGATGTCACCTTGATCAGCGTGTCATTATGCAAGATCGTGTACCAATGCGTAGAAGAAGACAGTCCTTTCCTAATTTTTAAGGACAGTTAATGGTGGCTATAGAAGAAAGTGCAGGTGTTCACCAAAAGTCATCTAACAAGGTAATGGCAGAACTGATAACAAAGGACATCCTCTTTACAGTAAAGTCTGTCACTTAGGTCAGACGGTTTTCACCTGATTTGCACAGGTGTACTGTATTATTCCAAGAATTTTTCCTACCATTTCTAAAATAGAGCAAAATTAATGCATAAGTTTTTCTCTTAAGATTATTTTAATGTTTATATGACAATTTTAGAAGAACTTAGAAAGCAGACAAACATCTATCATGTAGAATCATGTTTTAGCAAGAAATAACAGAAGAACTTGAGCTCTCTGAAGGTATTTGTTACAAGAGTATAGCCCAGACTACTGCAGCAATGCATTGCTATTCACAGACATGCTTGCACTGGAATGATAAATTCTCTTTATCAGCAATGTCTTCAAAGAGATTTAAATATATAAGGCAAAATAATTTTAACACTTTAGAAAGTAAGTCACTTAACATACGGAAAATAAATCATGAACATCAAGTCATTATAAAAGAGTTCAAATTCTTAAACATCCAGAGTCTTAAATATATTTTGGTTTAATATTCGGCTTCTCTATTTGTACATGTGACTAGTGGAAATAATTTCTGTGGTTCAGGTAGTCTCTAAAGAATATTTTGGTGAATTTATTTAAGACAAACCACTGAATACTGCTTGTTACTATAAAGTTTGGTAACATCTATTTCAATCAAGATGTAGTGAGATTGATGTGATTCAGGTAAGAAGATTTATTTGTCATTTTTCAGCTGTGGCTTAATTGTTTTTTCTTAATAATTTGATATGTCTATGTCATATGTCTAAAGTCATTAGACAGAAATCATCTGAAGAAAGAGAAGCAGCAGTATAAGCAGTATAAAACCCCCTATAATTGTTATACACCTTACCTAGGTTACCTATAACCTATGACCTGATATTTTTCCTATTTTTTTAAAAAATTATATTCGTCTGCTATATAGATGACATATTTCAGAACAAATGGGCTCATTCCTGACAATAAAAGAGAACTATATGAGCCATTTTTGTTGGCTGTACCACAAACTTCTGTCAGATTCACATCTTAAAATTTGCACCATGCAATGAATAGCTGAATTTGTGCTTGTAGTTAACACAACTTTGTTCAGGCACAAATGAGCCCAACGCCCCATGAATAAAAAAGCCCTTCTCCAAATATGTACAAGCCGTTACAGATCTGGCTCAGCAATGAGGCTTGCTCTGTTTCTGAAACAGACGTATTAATAAAGTCCATTAAAATTGCAGAACTCGCACTTTGCCAAGCTCTAATGGATTCTGGAAGGCAAAAGACCTGAGATGCATTAGCACAGACCCTACCTCTTTGGGGAATCCTGTTTGCTTCAATGAGTAACCATAAGTTTACAGAAGTCTGCATTATGACATACTCAAAAAGCCCTACATTCTGCCTTTGCAAGAAAAGAGTAGTCTTTATTGTTCTCTGACTGCATTGAAAAGGTCACAAAAATCTTTGTGTTGACAATTGAAAGCATTTGCCAGACCTTTAAACTGTCACCATTCACATTCATGTGAGAGAGGAATAAATTCGTCTAAAACACGACAGTGTGAACAGGATTTATGCATTTTAAGACACATTATCTCTGTGATCAGGATAATGTTTGTAACATGCAATGGAATGGCACAGTCCCATAGAAAATATGAAAGCATTTCAGAAAGTAATTCCAGTAAAAGCAATTGATTTCTGATGTGTTAAAAGGATCTTCTTTCCCCTGTTATTTGCAAAATTAATGCACTTACTATGTTAATTTGAGAGATTTGTAACACTTCAGCAGCTTTTATGAACTATGATTTAAATGAGTCCTGGAATTACCAATGTGGAGTCAATAAATTCTGTGCAACAGGCAAAGTGACTTGTAATGAGGGGCCTAAATACATCTGCTTCAAAAGCTCATGGAACTAGATTTCAAGCCAAGCTGCCACTGATCTGTCAGCTACATATGATCCTTTTAAACGTGCTCTTCACTGACCTTTTTCCCCTTCCTTGCCTTCTTCTCCTACTCCTCAGTGTCCTCCAGAGATCCTCCTCAGGTCACCCTGCCTCAGTGTTTAAAGGGAGGTCACTCACAAGCTTCTGCTTGTGATTCACTTCTCTTTTCTTTCTTTATGTGATGCATTTCATCAGTCAGAAACGCATGTCAATGACAGTGGTGTAAGCACAGTCTGATTCACATCATACAAAAAGGGTTAAATGACTTGCTTTCACCCTTATACTAAAGTAAGGAGATGCAAAAAACCCTTTTTGAGTTTATCAGTCAATTCATTAGTTGGTCAGTTCCTGTGGCAGCACATCATCGGGACACTCCAAACCTTCACACTGATCATAAATTCAGACTCTAACCCTTAACCTCACTTAAACTAGTCTTTAGGTTCCCGCATATACAAAGAAAACAGAAATTCTGCACTTCACAGTTCAGACTTGCCTGTCTATAAAGACAGTAAAGAATAAGAAGAGATTCACATGCAGAGTACTGAAATATGGCACCTTGCTTTGGATTCAAACCTTTAAAAATTATCTTAGAATGACAATTATGGCAAGAAAAAACAGGTAGAAAGTGAGAATCACATTCTTTTTTTGCCTTTCTGAGTCTGGAAGATCTGTCACTAAGCTTTCTAACAGAATAGCAAACACTAGTAGCATTAGGACAATACAGCTTGACCTTCTCTACTATTGGATTTTAAAAAGCCCTGAAACAGAACCACCCCAGACTTTACTTAGTGAGAATTGATCTACATCATGGTAGTTCGGTTTCTGGTTCAACAGACAGGAATATATCATATGCTGCTTTGGATCAATGAAAACCCAGGCTCATCCACTAAGCACTCAATACCCTGGAAAATTTGCATGTCCTATAGATTCTGTTCATTAGTATGGCTAATTAAAATGATGAGAATGTGCTATTGATCTAATTATGAAACATATACATAAATTGGGATGTATATGGGATAAAATGTGGTGGCTGCACTGTTACGCCTTTCAAAGTCATGCCTGTTGTCTTACAAGATAGCAAAGGATTTATGGGAATGCCACTTTCACTGATGCCAGCTGACATACAGACACAAAAATAAATGGAGTCACTGACAAAGGGCTCCATTTCCCCTGTTAAGCCAGAGGGTGCTGTGCCTGGAAGACCAGCCAAGCAAGAGGGGGTTGGCAGGGCGACTGAAGAAAGAGCATGCAGAGCATCCACTGCCGCATGTGCGCCAGGAGCAGGAGCTGATGCGGAGAGGAATCTCTCTGGAGATTTGACAATGAACAGTTACTCAAAACGTTGCAGCTCCAGCGAGGACAGCTTTGAGTTACAGGGTAGTGCAAGGTCAGAAGCTAAAAGCTTTGTTAAAAGCAAAAATAAGGATGAAGGCTATCGACCACATCGATCAAAGCACTGTCAGAAAGGGGGTGAAAAAACCCACGGACTGGAACACTCCTCTCTACATCCAGCAGAAGTGGGAAACGCAAGCCAAAAGCTCCAGAGGCAGAAGACGACTCACAAGAAGAGCAGTTCCTCTGCATCTGATTTGAGCTTGGTGAGTCAAGGATCATCAAGTTCGTTGTCTGTTGTGGAAGAAAAAATAGAAGCTAAACTCAAATTCTCTCAATTTATTAATGAAGTTACATTCAGAGTGCTTGATCCCATGAGCCTGAGGGCATACCGAGCTGCTAAACTGAAAAATGCCTTTACGTCCAGTGTAAGAAGCCTAGATGATTTGCATATTAAGAGAAAGTCTCCTGAAAGCTGGAAAGAGAACACTCTAGATGGGAAAACCCACGAAGAAGTAGACGTAGAGAGCCTGAAAAGTGACGACATTGTGGCTGGAGCACGAACACGCAAATTAGAGAAATCCTTGTCTCTGGATACAAGTCCCTCTCTCAGATCACTTGATAATGGTGCCTCATGCAGAACAAGATCTGGCTTGCCTGTAGAAATTATGATTTCTCAAACCAAAGAAATGCCAGCCACAAAATCTGCATCTCTGCCCAGAAGCACAAGCATGGTGAGCTCTCTCTCAAATCACTTCTTTATGTGGTATGTGACAAGTACTTGTGCATTAACATGACTATTTGAGAAGTGTTTTTGTCTTCCTGGGTGGGCTCTTACCATGTACACAAAGTTTTCTTCAGGGTGGAAAATGCATGGAGGGTTTATTTTTAGTAGCTGGAGCAACCAGCTCTAGAAGGTATGGGAGGAAGGAAAGACAGGCTACAACTCCCTGGTCCTTTTAGTTTGGTGTCTTAAAGGAAGACTTTGCAAGATCAAACAAGAAAGGTATTCCTGCACTGCAATGAAGCATATATGTAACCAGGTCAGCTCGATATGAGCAGTCAAAGCACCCCCAGAAAAGGGAGAAGAAGGTACTGTGACAGACTACTCAAGTAGTCAAACTTACTAGCTTAGAACTTGCTCGGGTACCTCTACATTAAACAGGAACGCTCAATTATTGTGTTTAAGTACTAGCAAGAGCTCTGACATTCTGAAAACATTGCTAAGGTGTGTGTGTCTGGAGTTAATACATCTAGATCGATAATTTCTTTCCTGATTTTTCTGAAAAAAAACCCAACCCTTAAGAACTGAAAAAGAAACAAAAGAAGGCTGAAGTTTTCTTCTATGGTCTGATCAAAAATATTTATGTTTTTAATTTTTTCTTATGAGATTCTTTGTTTGGTTGATGGAAGAGGTATTTATGCCTATGTGAGGAGAGCAAATGGAAATTGTAATTGCATGGTGTTGTTGGAAACTCTGAGCTGCCAAACCTTGAACTGATACATTACACTGTTACGTTTCCAGAGCAGTAGTTGTAATCCTGCTAAAACAATAAAGGTCCAGGAACTGTTGCTTAAGATTATACACATGCACACAGATGGTGCTAGAATGGGAGCTGCTACAGCTTCATTATTCTTTAAAAAGTCTATTCAGATTTAAAAACAAAGAAATAAAAGGTTGTCTGTTTTCACAGAGGACTGTAGCAAGTGGAAGAACATCCTGGTCTTAAGAATTTCACGAACTCTTCAGCAACCCATGCTTAGGATTTTATAGGATGTCCTTAGATGTTTTAGATGTTTTAATTATCACCTATCAAAGATGGCTGGAGGGAGAAGAAAAGAGGTGAAAGATAATGAAACACAGAGAGCATTTCCTCACTGTGTCATGTCACAGCCCCACAATAGGAGCTGTCCTGCAATGGGGTCAGGAAGCTCCAGCCTGAGCCCATGGCAGGATATGTTTTTTTCACATTTCAATTAGCCATCTGTCAGACCATCTTTTCCAGTGGACTTGCTCAACTGTACATATTGGAACATCCAACCAATCGAGTACTAACTGACTAAACACTCCCAAGTGTTCTGTAATTCCACTCAGTTAATGTAGCCATCAGTCTACTCCAATTTAAGCATCAGCCTGCTCTAAATCTAGTCATTTAAATTAAACACAGTAGATACTAACCATTTTGCCTCAACAAACAATGCTTCAGATTGCAGAGCTCAACATGAAGAAAGAAAGGAGTGGCAGGGCAAAAAGGAAAAGCAAAACACGTTCAGCCACATCTACAGATTCATGTCTCCTACATGCAAAAACTTTGACTTCAATGCAATTTATTTAATGCAAGTCCTCACCTGAAGCCTGTCTAGTGAGAAGCAAAAGGATAACTGCACAGACAGTCTTGGGTGCCATTACTGTAAAGTTATTTAAAAAGTATTTGGTTATGTAATGTTTGTCTGAATACACATAAAGAACATTGCTTAAATTGTTTCATGTTTTACTTGCCAAGTTATTATTCATATGTAGAAGATAATCTTTGAGAGAAAGAAATGGATCCAGTTACGTTGACTTAAATATAAAACCAGGATAGCAGAGGTATAACAACACACATTCTGAAGAGCATGAAGGAACATGCTTGAAATTTTGAGGTTAAGAAAGCTGCACCTAATAAAAAAATGTGACTTAGAAGAGGAAACCTATGACATTGCCTCCTGTCTGTTATGTTTTCTTAAGAAAACCCCTGAGGTGTCCACAACGGTGTCTGTGCTATATTTGATGTGTCTATAGTCGATTCAGACCCACTAAAGGGATTTTCAACTTTCAGATTTCTGAGAACTGGTCAAAATGTTCAGGGACATTTCTGCAGCAAGTATTTATCGGTTTGAAAACAGCTGCCACTGAAATGAAATTTCACAAAGAAACCACCTTCACTGTAGATCGATGCAGAAGAATTTCCAGACAGCTAGTAGGATCAAAAAGGATGATCTATTTAGTGACTGAAGTTAAAGGGAAATCTGATAGGTAGGAAGCAATTATCAAATAAGGACATGACATTTCTATTGTCTAAATATTTTAGTAACCTGGCCATCAGGATGGAAATACTTCTCATTTCCGCATATTGACCTAAATTTGGAGTCACTGGATAATTAAGCAGGAAATCAAAATGATTTAACTAGATGAAAGCAAGCCTCTGAATCCACACCAATGTAGAGGAATGTGCACAACTTGAGACTAGATCATACTTCCAAGCTGAAATGAAATGACCAGTTCAGTAGGCTGAAAAATGCAGGAAAAGTCTGAAAACAGTTGTACATAATGGAAAGTTTCTCAGAACCAGGAACACATGCCAAGTCAGAGTCCGTCAAAGTACAGATCAACACAGAGAAAAATGTGGATGGATCCAAATAATACGTATTTTCCTCAGATGCAGGGTATCTTTCAAAGAAATCCAGGCATGTGAGCAGACTGATCGCATTTTATCTTAAATATATTTGTTCCAAGTAACAAATTCCTTCAGGAAAGCTTTGGATACCACTGCTATTGTTCCAGGAAGAAACTATGAGTGAAAATCTAGTTCTTAAATAATCAAACATGAGACTGAATTCAGACCTGAGTTAGTGTGCAGCATCTTAGGACTTGAATCAACCTGAATATTACATCTCAGTTAAGTTTAGTCATACATGAATGAGGATCAAATTTCCAACTAGATCTCATCCTTATATATCTACTTTTGCCTGCACAAGGCACCAGAAAACACTAATATTAGACATTGATTTTTCTCGATCACAGGAAAGCAGTCTTGTTTCTTTCTTACAAGAGCTGTATCTTTGTATATTATGAAAAACTATCAGTGGTACATTCTGTGTACAAGAGGTCTTAGAAGCACTTAATTATTGACCTTATCATTGCAACTGTATGCATACATATCCTAAGGAATTATGCACTTGTATCTCATTACACAAAATAAACAAGGTCAAGCCTGATCAATACAAATGACTTACTAAATTGCAATATCCCTATTGAGTTGCTAGAAATACAATGTTCCAATATGGTGCAGAGGATGTCTTAAAAAATCAAGCTTGGGTTGGGATAATGGCACTCCTACAAAAAATTTTGGAAGTTAAGACTCCAGATGCTATAATATATGCGGGCATCTGGCAGGTGGTGTAAGGGCAGAAACATGGCCTTGCTCCATAGGAACTAACGATGCATATGGAGCCGTGTCTGAGAATAATCAAGCTGCAGAGTGATGTGTCTGTGTGGCAACACATTAGATGTGCTCTTCACATCAGTTTGGTACCACCTTCAGGGTTTCTTCTGTATTTGACATACTATGGCTCCCAAGCTAACTGCATCCCTGCTTGTCTGACATCTTAATCTGTCTTTCATCTCTCAAATGAATTGCACTGGTCTCCGTCACCCAGCTCAGGTTGATGCTACAGCCACCTGGCAACACCTGGAGAGACACTGAAGCAGTCATGCTGCTTCCTGTGTGATTTAGACTAAAGGGCCAAACTTTGGCTCCATATAAGAAACTCAATTCCCTCCTGTAGCCTTAGAAAAACTATCCGAAAATGAAGTATTCATCCTCTGATTTCAATCAACATATGCCCTGAAGTATTTAATATCTATAGCCCTCAAGACGGAAGGGGACAAATGCCTGCTACAAAGGCTTGCATCCTTATAAAATGCAGATGAGTGAAGCACACACTAGAATAACACTCCTTTTCATTCCTCTCACAATAAATTAGTATTACAACAATTATTGTAAAGAAGAAATATGAAAGATGTAGACATTTATACAGGAGTTCAAGAGGATTCATACCCTGATGATGTATATATCTAATCCAAGTAGGCTATTTAATTCTTAAGGAACCCTATAGGCAGCTGACTGACAACACAATCAAGGAAAGTGATACTAATTCCTGCTCTTTCTGCTATCTGTTATGCATGAGGATTCCTGCTGTTCACTACGGGTTCTCTTGTAAGAAGAATGCTTTAGCATAGGGATGGCTCTGACGGTGCAGAGGCATCTCTAAAAATTGTAGCATCACACACCTAACTTCCCAGGCATCAAGGAACCCGGGGTCGAATAAGACTGCCCTGCAAAGGCTGTGGTAGAATGCCGTAACAGTAGAAAATGCAGCTAATCTTCCATTTCTAAAGAAACTCAGTTTCTAGGGCACTCGAGTTCTAACAGTCTCACTGAAACAGCACACAAGATGGTGATTTTTGTTGCTCTAGGCCAAAGCTCTTTTCTACAAGGCTTTCAGTCCTCTTACAACCCTTCCAGCCTGCTACCATGCTGTAAGAACAGGCAATTGCTTTGTTCTTGGATGAATGCCAAATCTTTCATTTCAATTTACAGTACAGTGATGTTTACAAGTAAGATTTGGGTTCAAATACATTATAATGCAAAGCATCTATTATTTCACTGACTCATCCATGCAATATGCTCAAAGATAAATAGTAAGAAGTAGCACCAGAAGCACAGAGATATGAAGTGATTTGACCAGGTCAGTGATCAAGCAAGCAGCAGAACACAGGCCTGAAAAGATTTCCAGTGTCTTGTTTTTCTGGTCTGTTCCTGCTCCTTCAGGCAGGCAGAACAACATAGAACTACTCCCAATAGCAGAAATAATGAAACTCTGACCCACAGCTATGATAACTCGAGGTTCCTAGAGGAAGGTAAGAAAGAGAACTGTATCAGATGCTTCAGTTATTTAGCACATGACATGC